GAAAGAGATCGTAAATGGGTGCGTTCAGGACAAGGCAACGAGTTCTATTTCTTGTTCTGTTGTTTTTTTTCTCCTAAGGTCTTGTTTCCCTTCCTGCATAGTGTATAGTTGACACAGCCAGTACTTCCAGCCCTGTAATTATTAGCTCATTGCTCTGATCCCTCCTTTTGCACAGTGTTTTGAGTAAAATCAAACCTGAAACTCTTACAGATGTGGGAGAGAGGACTCAGTCCTCTCCCAGTGTGGAGGCAAAGAGAATTAAAATATTTCCCTAATTCCACTATTAGTTACTCTCAGAAGATCATAACTGTTTCCCCATGCTCCCACATTAGAAAGCTTTACCTAAGGGTTTCACCAGATGATCCCCTTCTTTTCCAGAGGTTGACGAGGCTGCTTGAGCGGCTGGCAGCTGAAGATGACTTTCCATCCCCTACATGCATGCGGACCACAGTCGACGTGGTGAATGCGCTGCGTACGTTCCTTTCTGGCTTAGCAAGGATGATATAAACCTTGGGGACAAACATACAGCCGAGGGCCACGGTGGCACTCAAGCTCACGGAGAAACACATGGTGATTATCTTGTAGTTGCTTCCAAAATATATTGGCACAAAAGCCAGCCAAATTATGCAGGTGGTGTACATTGTAAAGGCAATATACTTTGCTTCATTGAAATTAGCTGGGACATTTCTTGTCTTAAATGCATAAAAGGTGCAACTCAAAATTAATAATCCATTATATCCAAGGGGAGTTACAACACCCAGGTTGGTGGTGTTACAAATCAGGTAGACCTCTCGGATGCTGGGGTAATCATGCATAATATCTGGTGGCTCCATTATAAAGAGGGCAACAATTATGCCTAATTGTATACATATCAAGATAAATGCAATAACCAGTTGGGCGCAGGCACTCATGAACCTCGGTTTCTTTGTACAAATTTTCTTCTTGCTGCCAGCCAGGATTCTTGCGATGCGGTTGGTTTTAGTTACTAGAGCAGAATAACTCATAGCAGGGGAGAGGCCAATGCCAATTCGTTGAAGGTAACAGTAAATCTGTTGAGGTTTCGCGATGAGGCAGAAAGTGCACAAGTAACCCAAGCAGATGCCAGCTAGAATGATGTAGCAAAGTTCTCGGCTGGATGACTTGACCACTGGAGTATCACGGTACATTATGAATATAGCAGTAACGAACAAGGTAGCCAGCAGACCCAGACATGCAAAAACAACTGCTGCAATTGGTTCAGGATCACCCCATCTGAGATACTGGACTGGGATGAGGTCACAACCTACAGAAAAAGAAAAAAAGAAGGTAAACTGAGGTACAAAGGAGTGAGATTCGTTAATGATGTAGTTACAAGTTTTGCTGATATTTCTTTTTTTTTTGTCTTTCAGGAAGGTGCCATTATAATGAGTGTAGGCTAAGATTATACTAATATAATGGCACAATAAATACTTTTCAGTAACAGCTTATTTCAGTAACACAGTTTATCTGGAATATAACATGATGACTGAAAAAATGGCCAAGCTGATTAAGATAAGTTGCCTTTCTTCACAGTGAATATTTCCTTCTGAGTTCTTTAACATATACTAATTTATGAACAAATTTCAGAACCAAGTTGCATTTCCTCCGTGCAAAATTCTTCAGGGTTGTCTGCATACTGACTGCACTTAAAGGACCAGATGTCAGTCCTACTAATTATACTGTACACTATGAAGGATATTGCTACCTGTTTAATGATTATGGAGAGAATTTCTACATGCAAGATCTATTCTTTGCTTTTTCCTTTGTTTTCAGTGGAACTTAGTTTTTCCAAAGGTGTCACTGACATTCTTAGTAGTAAAAATCATTCCATGAGATGACATTGGTAGACATTGGGCTTAGCTCCTCTCTTCTCTCAGTATTTCTGTATTCTATTTCTCTAGACAATTAATAGTATAAAAAAATAGTGCCTACAGTATGGCGATATGCTCAGATAGATTGTGTAGCAAAAGTACAAGGCAGATGATAGTTCTGTATTCTTGCAGAAAGATTTGGGTCAACAAATCTTTGTTGATATTAATGCAGCTAAACAATATAAATTTGTAGCCACTCCAGTGTAACAGAATTTTGCTCTTGGTTACTAAATACAGATTAATTTTCCATCCATATTTTAACTGCTTTGGTGTGTAAAATTTTCTTTTGCAATAATTAAATTATTGCCATGTCTTAATGTAACATTTTTATTAAACACTCTTATTAGCATTGGTTCATGGTACCTATTTGACTCCTGTTGGTTTTAAAGGGTTTACTTATTCAGTGTGAGGGAAACACAGTATTTCATTCTGACCTCATCAAGATTAATGTAACACAGGAATCACATTATTAAAATCAGTATTTTATACCAGTAAGAGCAGTGGAAGAAGAGTTGAAACCAGAAAATATACTCTGGTGTGTGCAGATATCCCCATGTGGGTTCTTCCCCAGTAAGTTTTATGAGTAAATGATCTCTAAATCTACATCTTATTTTACCAAAATTTAATTAATGTTTTGGGGAAACTGTTATCAGCTTCTATAATTACTATATGTTCTTGGACAAGAAATTTGAAGAGAAAAGGTCTTTATTTAACATCTGGCTTTTAAGCGCAGGCAATGATATAGAAACTGAATTTTGCCCAGTTTCAAATGGTGCAGCAGAGGTGAATCACAACCAATCATTTCTTATTAGTTTCAGACTTTTTAAACTCTTTTTACATTAATAAACTACCTGAGAAAATAGTTTAAAACTTGTCCCATTTTTTCTCCCGTCACTGGGTATATTTTACAAGGAGAATGCTAAACTGTGCAATGATTTGTTCCTCAATTAAGATTTAAGGACTGGATAGTCTTCATAAGGCAATGAGGTTTTCATGTAGCAGTTTTGCAACTAATGGTTTCTGACAGTGGCACTTTGCAGAAAGGGACAACAAGATCAAGTAAAAGAAATACAGAAAATAGAGCACCACAAGTGAAGGTTCAGTTGACGGTGAGGATTTTACCAAGATAAAAGCTGAAAAATGGTAACTCTTTTATATCCCCTGAATAAGTGTATGCTTAATGGTGATTTGGACAAGATCCTGCCATACAGTCCACCAGGCTGGATGGGGCTTTGAGCAACCTGGTCTAGTGGGAGATATCCCTGCCCATGGGGGATGACCCTTGATGATCTTTAAAGTCCCTTCCAACCCAAACCATTCTATGATTTTATGATTTCCAAGCACCTGGAAAGTCTTCTTTCATAGCTGGCTCCAAAACTCCAGGTGGAACAGAGCCAGCAGCCTTGTCCTGTGGTCTCTGCAGCATGCTGAGGCAATCTTTGGCTTGTGAAAAGGCTGTTAGGAGCCCATCCAATTTGGAGCAGGTGTAGAGGTTTTTCTACTCAGTGCTTCGGTGTGCTGTTTCTGGGACCAGAGCCCCAGTAAAATTGACATAAAGCTGCCTCTGCGTTCTTATAACCAGAAACGTAGCCAGTGGGAGCAAGGTATTAGATACACGTGTGATTTGCAAGACAAGCCAATATAAAAATCAAGAGTCTCATTCAACTTGCTAAGGAAAGGAATTCTGAAAGGAGCATCAAAAATCACCAACAAATTACAGACAAGGATGTATAAGGAAAAAGAAAGTTCTGATATTTATAAAACATCTGGGTGCTTCAGGGATGGGCTAAATTGTGCCACAAATGAGGAGAGCTCTTGTAGAGCTGCCATGAAAATAGACAAACGTAAATAGACCACTGCCGTGGGTCTGTTAGTAACTTGCATACTCTTTGTAAACATATCGCTTATTTCTGATCTTTCATATTGCTTTAAAATTAGCTTATCTGGGAAAAGAGTTCACAGATATGAAGAACTGTATAATATTTTCTGGAGATTTGATCAGGACACTGTTTTCATAGAATCATAGAATACCAGGTTGGAAGGGACCACAAGGATCATCTGGTCCAACCTCTCAAGGTAAAAGTATCATTTAAACGAGAGGAGTCAGCACCATTTTAAGCTGACTCTTAAAACTGACCAGTGTAGGGGAATCCACCACTTCCCCTGGGAGATTATTCCAGTGTCTCATTGATCTCATGGTAAAAAAATTTCTTCTGGAGTTCAGTCAGAATCTGTCCAAAAGGAACTTGTGTCCATTACCCCTCGTCTTTTCCATGTGATTCCTCATAAAATGGGAGTCTCCATCTTCTTGGTAGCCACCTTTTATATACTGGTACATGGTGATAAGGTCCCTCCCAAGCCTTCTCTTCCCAAGGTTGAACAGGTCCAATTTTCTCAGCCTTTCTTCATACGGCAGCTCTTCCGGTCCTCTGATCATCCTTGTGACCCTTCTCTGGACCCTTTCCAACCTGTCCGCATCTTTTTTGTATAGTGGGGACCAAAACTGGACACAGTGCTCTAGATGTGGTCTGACCAGTGCTGAGTAGAGAGGGATAAGGACTTCTTTATCTCTGCTGGTGACGCCCTTTTTAATGCAAGCCGGCATCCTGTTGGCTTTCTTTACACTGCAGCACACTGTTCACTCCTGTTGAGCTTGTCATCCACCAAGACGCCCAGGTCCCTTTCCACAGGGCTGGTCTCTGTCCAGGTGGAACCCAGTCTCAGCTGCATTCCTGGATGATGTATTCCCAGATGCAACACCTTCCGTTTGTCCGTGTTGAATTTCATGTGGTTCCTGCAGCCCACTTGTCCAGTCTGTCCAGGTCTTCCTGGAGGGTGGCTCTCCCTTCTGGACTGTCAACTACCCAACTAATTTTAATTTGTTATGATAGCCTTGACACTTAAGAGACCTTTCCACGCCTTCGGCATCCATAAAACTGTGTTAGCTTAGCACTGAAAGTCCCTTTCATGGCAGGCAATGTAAAATGTGTAATTAAACTAGCTCCAAAGGTAAACATGACAGACTAAGGCTTGTGAATATGATGCACTCTGGAAAGGGAAGGGAATTCAGACAAATCTCTTAAGTCAACATTTTGAGCTAAAGCTCACTGAATCGGCACATGGACACTAGAACTGGCAGAAAATTACTGCTGGTTTAGTAAGTCCTAAATATTTTCCAGTGTGGAGTGGCTTCCTGGATAGTGAGTTAAATCCCTTGACAAAAGGCTCAGTTTTCTTGCTAACATTTCACAGATCCTTCGAAGCATAGCAGGAGTTCAAACACTGAGATTGAAACATAAAAAAAGCCCTAGCCACATCTTAGTTGTGAGGGAGAGTCTCAGTTTTTTAATAAAACTCCAAATCAGTACCCAAACTGACAAGGAAAAAGTGAGGATTACACTCTCCTAACCTCTGGGTGAGAAAGCAGCTCCGTGACCTCCACATGGACTATGGACCAACTGAAGTGAGAGTGGACATCTTTAACATTCTGTTACTAATTTCTGGTGCTACGGTATACTACTGTGGTCATCAGCTCTTTGCCCTGTTCTGGTGAGACCTTTCATAGCTGCTACAATAGCAAGGCATGTGGAGGTGCCCATGTGCTCGCTTCTTCTGCAGCTTCTTCTGTTGTAGCTCCCAGGCTGGCACATTTACTGAAACCATCAGTGAAGGTGGGTTTACACAGTCAACAGATGCAGCTGAGGACAATTTATGTCTCTATTCTGCCACCTCTGCAGGGCAGGAGTTGGGACCAGTCACATCGTAAACTGTAAAAGCTGGGGCATCTGTAACTCAGGAGCCTAAGTCCCTAATAACTCAAATACAGTAACTCAAATACACTGATTTAGCTGTGCATTGCATTAAAAGGCAAGGCCATGAATCTTGGAATAATAAATTAAATTTACTCTGAGAGGAATGATTCCTTAATTACGCAAATGCACAGGATGACTGGGACAACAGATGAATTGAAGCAATCGGGTCCATCCTTATGTTAGCTCTAATGTTTTCATTTAAGTTTCACCAAGAAAAAATGCTGGCTCTGTGTGTTGTAAATGTTTTGTTCGGAATATGTCATTTTCAGCAAAATTTCCATAATGTAAGGCACAATTACAAGGGGATCCTTCTGGCTTTGTTGGCAAGTTCCCCTTTACCCAGCCCAGGAGCCTCCAAGAGCTGTTTGTTGAGCTCAATATTCCTGAAACAACTCACCTGAGCCTGAACTACTTTGCCAAGAGGCTGATGTGAGAGTGAGCTGTGGAAATGGTTACATTTCATTTGGAGTAGAAAATAAAAGGAAAAGAGATAAGGCAGGACACAGGGTGAAAATTGGACATTATCTCTGCTGATGTGCATTTATAATGCTAAATACAAGCAGATAAAAATTGTGTCCTTC